GCAGGGCAGGGCAGGGAGGAAAGGAAGCTACGCCTCGAGTGTAAAGGTGCAAGACTAACAGCCCAGTATTTAAAAAAAAAAAATATTATTTATTTATTGCACATTCGCTGCTCCAAAATCTTTATGAGGGTCTCCCACCGAGTCTTCTAAAACATTAAATATTTTTGCACTCTCATACTGCTTATCTGTCCCATCTGAGGCCTGTCTTTCTGATAACCTTCCATTTTGTTTCTCATATGTAACCAAATGTCCCAGCACCATTTAAAAAAAAAAAATCTTACCAGCTCACTGGTGTCTTCTAGTCCCCGGTTCTAAAATCATAATCAGAAGGCTTTCACAAAAGTATGCTAGGTCTGCCACCTGGCTGACACCAACCACCAGGCACAGGAGAAAGGTGTATCTGTATTCCAGAGACAACAAAGGTGCTCCTTAAAGTTAACAAACAGGGCATGTCCAATGTTCGAAAGTCTGCAAGTTTGATTCGGTGCCTTCTATTCTTTCCCATTTGTCCATTTGTCTCTATACATTTATCAGAACATCTTAGCCACAAGTACATTACAAGCCTGATACAGCAGGACCACTCGACTTGCACAAATCCCTCAGTTAGTCCTGCCTGTTCTTGGCTTCTGTTCCTATCATATGAATATTCTAACATCAGCTCTTGCAGTTGGTTTTAAAAGCCCCGTCAGGATTTTGCCATGAGTAAACTGTGACTTGTGGATTAGCATGGGGGAGTGGGGGGTGGGAGGAATTGACATCTTCACAAGGCTGAATACTCCATCCATGAACATGGTATATTATGGCCAGTCAAACTGGTCCACTCGTGTTTCATGTTCATCATTATTTAGCTCTCCTCAGGAAGGTGTTGAATGCATCATTGGGTTTCTGCTTTCCAGGTACTGTGGAGAGCTGATTCATGAATGTGAAGACTTCAGATAGGCTTTTCAAGCTGGATTGATACTGAATAATGAGATTTTTTTAAAAAAAATCTTGAATCAAGAAAATCTGAATGCTAATCACAGTCTGCACCTCGATTCTCTTCGGTTTTCCACACAGGGAACCCTCTCATCTGTCAACCAGGTAGGTTCAAGTTACTTTGTCCTAATTCATGTACATCACATGTCTTTATCTTTCTTCCTGCGTTAACTAGAGCCAGGACATATTCAAGCGGGGACAGACATGATAGGCATCTTTGACTTGCTCACAGCTTAAGAGTTAAGGTGTCTTGGTCAAACACCTTTAGAGATCAGGTGTCAAGTTTTATCACTAAGTTTAATATTTCCTAGAGTTTTCTAATAAGTAGCTTTTACAAGCCTAATCATTTCCATTTCCATCTTATTTTACAAAAAAATAAAAAATACTGTTATCGTGGACAAACAGTAGACTTTACTGAGTTATTCTGAAACTTTACATGTTTGTTTTCTCTCAGCCTGCTAGTCATGATGTGAGCAACTTGCTGACATAGAACCATCTTTGTGCCTCTGAGACAAGTGCTCCCAAGTCGTGGTATATAGAGTTTGATTCCTTCTCTGTAGATGCTGACTTGCTAATATTTCATCTTGGGTTCTGTTTTTGCTGTTGTTTGTTTGTTTGTTTGTTTGTTTGTTTGCATTATGCTGAAATTCCAGCCACCGATGAAACTCTTGGATGCAGAGGTCAGCTAACTGCCTCAAGGGTTTGCCTTACTTCTGTGCCATGAAATGTTTACCTTGTTTCATAGCTTGTCATTTGGCTTTCTCCTTTGAAATTTCTCCTGCGATGGCCTGAGGCCTTCTGTGTCAAGACCAATGAAAGTGTGAGCTCCCTGAACCACTTCAGTTGAAATTCCGTGCCAACCCCAGGGCTGAATTCTAACCTTACTGACTTTCCTTGTTTCAAACCTTCCACCTAAACTCAGGACTTATTTCCTTAAGTGAAGATGACTAGCAAAGTGTCTTGTAAACATACATAGCATAGAACATGATCAACAAATTGCTAAATGTTCGATATATGAGTTAAAATTTTCAAAACCAAGGTTTTCCAGGTACATATTTAAAGTGTTTGTATTTGTCTAGTAAATTCCTCTTCTTGGTGTGGAAGCACGTTGCACGGTGCTGTACTTGGAGGTAGCTAGGCAGCTATGGAGGTGTGAGGGTCCTAGAGGCATGAAGGCCAGGGGGTGAGAGCATGGCCACAGTAAATGCCTAGCTGCCCACCCATCCTGCCAACAGGACCTAAGGGGGGCTTGGCAAGGAACTGACAGCCACACTTGAGGAGTGTGTATCAGTATTCGGGGATACAGAAGGAGACACATGTGCAGGAGATGGAGAGGGGTGGAGACACACACGTAAAATGCTTTTGAACTGGGCTAATATCCAAACCACGTGCCCCTCCATTGGAAAAGATAAAAAAAAAGGTTCTTTAAACTATAATACTCTGCAAATAAATTGGGTTTTAATTCACCCCACCTTAATGGCAAGGCTTGTGCCTGCCTCTGCTGGTACAAGGTCTCTTGTTTTTGTGAATGCTATCTCCTTGCTCTGAAGCCACCTGCTCAGCCATTTCAATACTCTATAACTTGGGTCACGTGACTTAATATCCATAGTCTGTCTCCATTTTCTTTAAGAAAATAAAAAAGGGAGGGGGACCAAAGTACCTGTGGTATGATTTTGCTAACTACCCAACTACACCAGTACTTGGATAGGGGATCACCCTCTATGATGCCAGAAGTTATCAATTTCATAGCCATTGTTCTCTATGTTTGTGTGCCTATTTATTTCTGTTTTCACTGTTGTTGTTTTGAGACAGGGTCTCATACAGCCCAGGCAGGCCTTCAACTCTTGAGGTAGCCGAGGCTAGCCTTGAACACCTGATCCTTCCGCCTCCGCCTCCTAAGTGCTGGGATGACAGGTGGATATGCACCACTACACCCGGCTTTCTTCCACAGGCTTACCTCCCACTCTCTCATTTCTTGGCCTCATGTCTGAGTCTGCCCTAAAGTTTTAAATAGGTAAACACCCACTTTGTGTTTTGTCTATTTCGGGTCCTCTTATCTACTCTTCCCGCCCACCCCCCACCCTACCCCAGTTCTGCTCTCTTTGCTACAAACTGCATGGTGGGGTGCCTCCACAGGCAAGAAGCGGGTTTGTATGTCTGAATGCCTCTGCCAGGCTAACAACGCCGCACCTCTGATCTAATATATATTTAAATGAGTCGCTTTGTTTATTTATTTATCAAGAGCAGTGGACATACTCATAGCACGCAGACAGAGCCTCATGAGTGTCTAGATTTCTCGGCTGATGCCTCTGCTTGGCCTGAGACAGGAGAGCATAATCAAGTCACAGGAGACACTAAGTCACACCAGCTAACGCTGGGCAGATAAGTCGTCTGTGTCAGATAAGAAGCCCCATTTCAATTCTGCTGTCATAAAGTAGTCATTACATTTATCTTAACCTGATAACTCCAGGGTGAGAAGACGAGAAACCAAAGATTAAATCAGAACTCACTAAAACGTTTTTGTTTTTTGTTTTTTGTTTTTTAGGATTCTTTTTGTCTTAAGGATGAACATCTATCCAACCTAAAGGAGCACAATTATGACAGACAGACGGACGGGGCTCAATCACCAACACCCCGTGGTTTTCAACATGTTTTTAGACATGAATGTCAATCCAATTCTCAGCACAAGCTCCAGGGGATTAACTCACAGAACAGTATAAGCCGAGGCAGAGGCCAGAGCAAAATAACATAGGCTCAGAAGTGCATAGGACCAGCACCTAAGCTGAGGGACCAGGGTGTGTGCACGCGCAGGGATCTGGGTACGGGCACGCGCACACATGGGGGGGGGGGAGACAACTGTGCTGTTATCCCTCTGCTCTGGTCCTACTGTGTGTCCCTGGAAACACAAGATCCGCATAGCCCTGCCCTTAGTCACCGTACGAGTCCAAGTGTGCAAGGCCAACAGGATGGTGTGGGTTACCCCAGAAAGGTGAGTGCTCTGGGAGCCAGGCATGTGCAGGGTATCATATAACCCTGTGCCTCAGAGTTTTAACAGGAATGAGTCCCTCCACTTTCAGTGTGAGCAATCCGTGGGATAAAGAGCATCTCACTTAACTTTCATACCCACGTTCTGAATCCTTTTCCATGAGGAGAAGAGAATTCCCAGTCCTTCCTGGTCTCCCCATCCAAAAACAAGCTTACGAGCTGCTTCCCTTGAACCTACTCTGTACATAGTGTCAGACTGCACTATAAATCCGTATCACTACATCCACAGATTAGCACAGCTCTCAGAGCTGAGAAGAGAAGTCTCTCCGTGTGGTGAGTGTGTTAATAGAGAAACTCACAACTGGTCGGAGTGTAGAGAGGAAGTGATTGCGAAATGCTCAGTCACAAACAGGACAGCTATACCATAACCTCTCCTCCTGAGGCTCACAGACCATAGCAGAAGAGGAGTCAGAAAGCCAGAGGTCAGGGAGGCCTGGAACGTGACAGTGTCTTCTTCTGGACGTGACAGGACTGCTGCACTCATGAGCTCACAGCTGCTGTGGCCCCCACACAAGATCAAGCCAGTCAACATTCCAGCATGGAGTGGGGAGAGGTTCACTAGCCCCCATCCCTAACTGATAGCTGATGGGATTCTAGGGGGAGGAAAGTCTTTAAGGATAATGCCCCTGGTAAATTGACCATATTCCAGTGGCTGGCCCCACACCCATGAGTATATGAGACTTGATGGGTTTTTTTGTTTTTTGTTTTGTTTTGTTTTGTTTTTAAGGAGAGGGGATATGAAATTGGGGAGGAGGGAGTAGATCCGGGAGTAGTGTCTAAATATGATCAAAATATGTTATATGCATGTATGAAGTTCAAAGAATTAGTAGAATATTACTCCTCCCCCCCTCAAGACAGGGTTTCTCTGTGTAACAGCCCTGGCTATCCTGGAACTCACTCTGTAGTCCAGGCTCGCAGGGAGCCACCTGCTTCCAGCTCCCAAGTGCTGGCATTAAAGGTGAACGCCATCACTGCCCAGCAATATTACACTTAAAAAAAAAAAAAAGACAGAACTGCTCCCCTCATTCTTGCTCTTGCAGCCCAGTCACCTCAGTGTATTCCAGAGCCAGACTGTTCTGCACAGGGATGATGGCAGGAGCTGGAATGGCAACATCCCACCCTCCTTAGACATCCTGTCGATGCCTCACATCCTCTCTGTTCCAACTCCAAGAGATGCTTCCTAAAGGTTCCCCGTCCCCCTGACTTACTGCATCTCAGAGAAAACTCTCGGGGGTTCAGTCCCAGCTAACAGCACTGTCTTTACCACACAACAGCAGAAGCCACAGACATCGTGCTCAGAACTGGGGCATTCACAGTTCTTGGCACAAGGTGAATGAGATAATGAACAACTTGGGTGGAGCTATTCTGATTTCTGGGCTCAGTTTTCCTATTTATTGTTGCAATCTGTTCATATTTGATCAGTGTTGCAAATTGTTAAGTCGGAGACGCTATTTACAGCCATGTTCTATTGATAACACTTCTCGGAAGAGCAAGCGCACATGGGGATGATTTTCACAGGGAGCCCGCTGTATGTGAAACGGGAGAAGGGCACAGGTGAGTCTTCCATGCTGCCAATCTACAATGCACTAAGGTGTAGCAGCTTGTCATGGGAAGCGAAGCTAACAGTTGGGAAAGTGCTCTGTGGGTGACAGGCCTCGTGAGTGTCATGGTGCTATGCCCAAGAGCTTCATGCCACCCCTCTGGTCTCATTCTGTTGTTCACGGTGCCACTGACAGGGTTAGGGGGCCTTCAATAGCCAAGCAGCCTTAAACAGACCTGGAAATCCAAAGCAACTGATTTGGGGGCCCTCCCACTCCCACACAGGAGCAGGGGTGGCCCTGTTTGTGATTCCACACCTTCTGCACAGGGGTAGTGTGCTGCTTACTATCTGTAACTTGCAGCAATTTCTAGCTCATTATCTCCAGTTTGTTCACCCTTGTTCCGGGCAGACAGGGGTGCTGCGAAACAGAGCAGTTCCATTACCACTGTGGATACAGACCACACATACCCACATGTGTGTGTATAGATCATGTGTACACATGTGTCTGCACATATACACTAATGCCCAGCACACACCAGCCTTGCTAAGAGTAGCAAGCTGGGGAAGTACTCAACTGGACATTTGTCCATCCAAGAATGGCAGGGCATGGCAAGCCAGCAGGCAGGCTGTTCCGGACAGTCATGGCCAGGACACTGAGGGCTCAACATATGGTGGGCCCTGGTACCGTGTTCTGTGCTTATAGTACCTCATTTTATATCACAATGACCTTGCATGTCTGTATTATCATCTGTCTACAGGGGAGGAAGCTCCCCTGAAGCTCAAAGCGGTCACTGGGGTGGATGCCAAAGGGCCAAAGGGATCTGGACAAGGAGACAAATTGGAAACTGGGCCAGAGAGGAGAGGAGACCAGGGTGACCAAGAGGAAAGGTGTAAGACCAGGTAGGAGACAGAAGATGGACAATGGCCACATTCAAGAACAGGAGCCCAGGGAGGGGACAGGGCAGGGGGTGGGGACAGTGGGAGAAGCAGGCCTCCAAGGGTCCTGGGGCCCAGGATTAGGGAAAAGAAACTCACAGGGGCTCCAGGTCCTTGGCAAGCTCTGTGGATGGGGGCTGTACCTCAGTACTGTCTCTTACAGAGACTTAAAAAAGTCTGTCTTGCTTCTGTAGATACCACAGGCGTGCAGGGAAAACTCTCCTGCAATAAGACAAAGGATATTGCACCTTGCACTTGCTGACCTAAGGAAGTAAAGCCTGCAAGATGGGCATGCCAAACTCCCACACTTGGGCTCAAATAATCAATATCACAGGAACAGGTATGTGTGTGTGTGTGGGGGGGGAACAATTGACAGCAGATAAGGGGTGAGGAGCAAAGCGGGGGTACAGGCACCCCATTTTGACTCATGACTCAGTGGCACTGACTCACAACTTTAGGCAGGTCTGGGCTCTGTGCCTTTGGTGAATGGGACACCATGGGTAATCCCTCCTACTGTCTCTCTGTATGACTGACAGAGATAAATGACCACAAACAGGGAGGGGGGGCGGGGTGTGAAATGGAGAGTACCTGTCTTTCAGTGCTGGAGGCTCCAAGTGCTGCAAGGCTGGGTCCCCTGTTAGCCTCTCTACTTGGTTTATGAATGAATGGCCACCTTCATGAGCAGGTGTCATCCTCCCTATATGTGTGCCCCCTCCAAAGCCCCACCCCCATGATGACACTACACATACCAGATTACCCACAGACCTCACTCTGACTGTGCCACCTTTGGATAATCCAGAGATAATATCTGGAGAGCCCGGGGCTTAGGAAACAGTTCCAACCTGAACACTGGGTTCCCACAACCCAGTGTCTGCCATTAGCCAACTCCCCTTCTCGCTCTCACTCTACGTCCTATGCCAGGGCCTCCCAAGCATGACAAGGGCACCTGCCTTCAGGTCAGTGGTTCTCATGCCTTTGCCATAATTACCCAGTGTGAAGCCACCTGTGTGCTAAGCCAAGGCCACGGACACCACTGCGCATCACAACTGTCACCTATTTATTTACGTTTGCTCTAGCTAGGTAAAGGCATTCCCAGGTGCTCATGTTAGATAAACATGAATTTTAGGATCAGCCCGATAATCTGTACACAAGAACCAGCTTGGAATTCAATGGAGAAGGCACCAAGTCTGAAATCTGTGTGGACTGTATTGCCATCAGGACAACATGAAATCTTCTAAACCATGAATATGGTATACCTTTCTCCTGAGTTAGGGCTTCAGTTTCCTCAAATGATATTTTGCAATGATTGGTATATGAGTTAATACCTGCTTGGGTTAAGTTTATTCCTAATAATTTTATGACTTGAGTATTAAGAAAAGCATTGTTTCTTGAACTTCAGTTTCTGGCTGTTCTTTGCAAATGTCCAGAGATAGAACTGATTTTTGTATATATATCTCACACCCAGCAATTCTGCAGAACTTCTTGGTCCTGGTGATGTTTTCATAGACCATCCAAGATCATTTCATCCACAAACAAAATGTCATCTTGCTTCTTCCTTTCCAAACTGGGTGCATGGGGCTGGAGAGATGGCTCAGTGGTTAAGAGCACTGACTGCTCTTCCAGAGGTCCTGAGTTCAATTCCCAGCAACCACATGGTGGTCCTCTTCTGGTGTAAAAGTGTACACACAGATAGAGCACTCATATACATACAATAAACAAACTGGATGCCATGAATTCTATCTCCTGGCCCAATGACCATGACTAGAACTTTCTATATGAGGCTGAATGGAAATGACAAGAGAAGACATCTGTCTTCCTTCTGACCTCAGGAGGAAGGCTTTCAGTCTCGCCCCAGGTGTGATACAGCTGTGGACGTTCCTTAGACATGCTTTTATCCCACGTTAGGTTATGGTTTCCTTTCATTCGCTATTTTCTATTACAGAGATTCTCCCTATAGCTGCCAAGGAGAGCCTGCTGGGATAAAAGGCTGAGTCTGTCATCGCCTTTTCCTTAGACCTTAGGATTCTGCCCAAGCTCAGATCCCCCCTCCTCACTTCCCTGAGCCTGCTTTTCACCACCATTGCTTCACTCTTTACCTCCAGCAACAAAGCCAACTCGGGACTTTCTGTTTTCTAAGGTACTCTGTACTTGACTTTCTTCTGCCCCTTCTGCCTGGAAAGCGAGCCCTGGGACCATCCATTTGCTGATATGAACTTTCTTCCTCTATGGGACAAACATTTTGTGCAATGGGCCACACTGCATCTCCTGTTACGTTTGCAGGCCTATCTTTTCCCCACAGACAGCCAGTGTCCTAAAAAGTGTCTCTGCATTAGTGACATTTGCTCCAGGCATTTAACACAAGGCTTAAGCATGCCATTATGAGTGCATGAATGAATGAATGAATCCTCAGAGACATCCTTCACTACTGGCCAAGCAACTTTTTTAAAAATAAAAACTTGATTTTAATACTCAATTACGATAGGTCCTGGGGGAGCAATCTGTACCCTTTTTTGTAATTTTGTAAAATACAGGGTTCTTCACAACCTTCCCCTACCTGTCTCTCCCTTCCTACAATCTGTGGCACACTCTAGAAACCACACACAACTCTCCCAGCTCAACAGAGTTCTTGCAAGGCTCGCAGGGTGCTCATGTCAGACCCTCTGTCCCTGCCACCATCTGTCTGGAAGCCCTGCCTCATCCACTCACACTTGATCTTTGGGTCCTCAATCAATTTACAGAGCTGACTCCTGTGCTTGGTGTCTCAGAAGCATCTTGAGTCCCAAATCTAAGACTGAAGTCATGGTCACCTCCATCCTGCTACTGCTATCAAGATCCCATCCCTTTGCCAAGTGTCAAGGCCTGGTAAAAACTCCACTGTCCATCCAAACACCCAGGGGACGGACAGGGACACACACACACACACACACACACACACACACACACACACAAAACAAACAAACAAAAAACCATGTGCCATCTTCTGCTGTTCAAAAGCACTTCTGAAGGCCTCCCACTCCTTGGCACCATGCCGCCCCTTTCTTCCCAGCCTCCACTGTGTACCTTGCTCTGGCACAGCGGCTGCTCAATGGCCCTCTGCCTCCACATGGCACCTGGAGTGGACCCTCCAGCCTGCTCCATTAGCCCCTCCTCATTTTCAGTCCTCAAGCTCCCCCACCCCCCAGCCCCTCACTGTTCTGCTGACAGATCCCCCACCTCCGGTGGCCTTGCATGTGGCTCTCCTGGCCCACCCCCGAGCACTCTACCTCTCTTCCTCCCCTTGCTAGAGCATCAGTCTGCTCTCAGCTTGTACTTCACCTCCTCAGGAAAACCCGAGCGGATGCCGTTGACTAAGCCAGTCCACAGCCACTCAGGACCACACCCCTCCTCTTCATGGCTTTCCTATAAGTTTGAAGTAACACATCATTTGAATGGGACTGTCATGGCTACAAAGCAGAACCCTATGGGAGAAGGAGCCACAGTCCACCTGGGCACAGTATACGGCTGACATGGAAGGCAGCAAGTGAGTGTACCTTATCTATTCTCCTATCTACCTCTCAGAGAAACAGCTCTGGCATGTGTTGCAGGTGTCCCAGGGTGGTCCGGCAACTCCTACCAGAGCCCTCCATCCATTTGCCTCGTTCATAGAGTGGCAAGTCCAGAAGAGACACACCTTCCTCAGAGCAAGGAGTTGTCAGTACAGGCCCGGTGAGGCTGTAGCAAACAAAGCCTTGGACCACCAAGGAAGCTGCAGAGAGGGAGCCGGGAAAGAACTCCTACTCCCACCACTGTATGAGATCAAATGAAGGCCATGCTCGTGACTCCTGTGCTATGGGGAGAACCCCTGTCTCTGGTAGAAAGAGAAGACCCATGTGGCAACCTATAGGAGACCACAGATGTCCATAAGGACTACTTCCAGACCCGGGCATCTGAGAAACTGCTTCGGTCAATTAAAAGGAGAGTTTCATTTGTATTGATACAGAACCCTTCAATGAAGACAGATAAAGTTCTTTGGTCTATTGACATGTGGCTCCCCTCCTTTGGCTGTCAATCAATGCCCAAAAGAGCAGGGGAGAAAAATCGATTGTATAATTGTGGGATTGATTTGGCAATGCCTGATGGGAAAGGGTTTGTATTCAAACAACACAGATGAGCCTCTCAGGCTGGGAGTGTAGCTCTGTGGAAGAGTGCCGCCTAGCACAGGTTCAATACCCAACACTAACAAAAAAGAAAAGCGGGAAAGATCCCTTCAGAGACACTGGCAAACCTCCTGAGTTTACCACGTTTGAGGACATGCATCCTTTAGATGGCCAAAGTGCTCAGCACTTTCCCCATGGAATGCATGGAGAGGGCTACAGATAGGGGGGACCCGTGAGCCTGGCCTCAGAGCACACAGCTGTGTGATGAAGGACAACTTTCTTCACCTCTTCAGAGACTCAGTTCACTCTCTTTCTCATTAGCAAGGGCAAAAGTCAATGAAGATGGGACAGTGGCGGGGCCTGACCTGCAGGAAGCCCTCGATGTGTGTTGTACGGTTGTACACACCCTGGGCTTTTATCCTATGACTTCTCTGACCTTGGTGACAAATACATTGAGCCAGCAGGACTGGCTGGGGCACCGGGAGACTCAAACACTGTCTCTAACTCAAACACTCAGCTGTATGCACCCCACGCCTGCTTCTGCGTACCAAAATGGTGAGGACGCCTCACATAGGCTCCATAGCTGTCACAGGCTCCAGTGGCCTCTGGAAAGGGTCACAACATGCTGCACGACACTTCTATTGTCACTGCAGGCAAAACATTAACGAATTACTTTTCATTCGTTTTCCTTCTATCACGCAAGTAAGAAGCCACACGATTCCTTATAGAAATCTGGCAACAGTTATATCTGCAGTGGAGATGAGTTCAGCTTTGCCGTGAAAGGGGAGAGCTAAGAGGCCGACATCAGCTCCCTACCCATGCTCCCTGGTCAGCAGCCTTAGGAGGGAGAGGGTTAGGGATTGGTGTTTAAGTCAGAAACATCGATGAAGGAACACAACCACCAATCCGGTATGGAGGCTGTCATGGGATCTCCAGAAGAGAGAGATGGCTGAGAAAACACATAAAAATAAGAACGTGTGAAAGCGCGCGCGCGCACACACACACACACACACACACACACACACACACACACACACACACACACGTAGGGAGGAAAGAGGCTTAAAAAGCCAGGTCCAAATGCAGACATGAAACCAAGACTCTGCAGCGGCTGCCTGCCCTCTCCCCCAGGACAGGTGGGCAGTGGGAGGGATGAGGAGCCCACCAAGATGGATGGAAAAATGAGCTGCAGCTTGGGAGGAGCGCTTGGCAGAGACCAGGAAAGCCTGCACTCAGGAGCACTAAGCAGAAGCTGCCTTTGGGAGGTTGGCGAGGAGGTTGAGTGGGGGTAGGATGGGTTGAGGATGCCTTTCAAAGGGAAACCTAACCTCATCAGCAACTCTCCTGCAGATTCTTCTCCACTAAATTCAATCCTTTCTTTCTTGTACAAAAATCTATACAGCAAGAAGCCCATCTAGAATTCCACCCCGCAACCCCCACCATACATGGGCATGATCTTCCTTGAGCATGCTCCCCAGACTTATGCACGCTTAACAAAGGCATTTTCTCTATCAAAGCCAGCTCGCATCCTTGTTCTGTTTTATGATTTGCCCTTTGTGTCTTAAGTCAGAGATATCTTTCCACATGAAAATATGTCTTCCCAGACCTTCATCCTCACTGGTCATGTGTCACATGGACGGATCATCATCAGTTAATCAATTCGCCATTGCGGGACTTTTATGTTGCTTCTGCTAACTCTAGCATTATAAATAATGCTGTGACCGAGGACATCATAGAGGCAGCTTTGTGCACCAGCCCATTTTAGTTCTTCAGATAAATTAACTGTGGGATTGTGTGAGTCAATATATGGTGATAGGCTGAAAGAAATGTCTGTTCCCCCAAAGACATCTGTGTTCCAGTCCTTGGTACCTGTTATCGTTTAGCCTTACACATAAGGATTTTGCAGGCGTGACCCAGTGAAGGATTCTAAGAGAGGGAGAGTCCCCGGAGTTATCTAGGTAGGTTTCAGAATGCCACTGCCGGGAGTGCTTGGGAGAGGAAGGAGGAGAGCAAGATCAGGAGTGAAAATACCATGCTGCCCACGGTGGTCGGAGACAGTAGGGCAAGTCAAGAAAGGGGGGTTTCCTTAGATGCTGGAGAAGAGAAGACAAGGAATCAGCACACACTTTCTCATGCCCGTATACACACACACACACACACACACACACACCACAAACCCACAGGGAGTTCTTGATATCCGAGCAGTAAAACCTCCAGACCCACAAGATAATAAATCTGTGTTGTTTTCGGCCACCAAGTTTACAGTGTTTCTTACGACAGTGAGGGAAGGCAGACACATAGCTCATGCGTTTACATGTTTATTTTTGATAACTGGTATTAGGGCCACTTTGTTTTCTCCAGCTGCCACTCGGTGCTGCCACTGGGTGACTGGCACATGGTCCTGGGAGGACAGGACTGAGCTTTCCGTCTCCGTGCCAAGCATGCCCCTGAGTTGATCCTGCCTCTTCTCCTAAACTTCCATGCAGAGACTTACTTCACAGTTTCACAGCTTAGCCAGGTGACAGCCCGCACGCGCGTGGACACATTCGATCAGTTGTTCACTAAACAGCCACTTTCAGAGCCACCCAGGTGCTGACACCCTCAACACTAAGGATTCGGCATGGGCAAACAGTCTCTGCCTTCTGTGTGGCTTCTGTGTCTGCGACCTAAGCGAGAAGCTTGCAGCCAGGCTGGGAGCTGAAGCCACATGCACTCAATCTCCCTCGCATGGCAAACCACCCCCCCACCCCCCCACCCCCACGGCCACCAGACTCCCTCCCTACTTTGCCTTTTCTCTTTTGTTCCCTCAGACCGAAAAATCTCATATAAAAGAGCTCAAATTTTAAATGCCTCTTTACTTCTCACTAGAAGGTAGGCAGGAGGGCGGGGCACTCTGCATTCATGAGCTGCAGGATCCCTGGCCAAGCACAGCCTTCCATGCAATAGGCCCTCAGCAAGTGTTTCTTGATCTATTGTTCAAAATCCATGGCCTCTCTCCTGTATCCTACCGCTCTCCAAGTCATTAGAAACTGTGGGTCTCTCCCTACAAAGCCTTGCCGCCCACCTGCCTCTGAGTCATGTCCACAAATGAGGCACCTTCAGCCTGGAGGAAGAATGCCAAATATTAAATAAACAGCATTTCAGAGAGGAGGTTAGGACCTCTTCAGAGTTTCACCCAGGCCATTCGCTCCAGAAAGGAAGGAAGCTGGAGTTCTTGTCCTGTGAATCCAAAGACCACCAAGTATGGAGTGGAAAAGGGTGAAGATTGTAAAGCAAATAACTGAGCCTCTTTTTGAGAGAAGCCTTCTAGAAGGTTCCAGAGACTGCAGCACACCTAAACATTCCCTGAGCTTTCTGTGAGGAGAGGCAGCCCTGTGTGGTGAAATGGATGAACTGCAATGCATTATGCAGACCGACTGCCGCATTTCCTCCATCCCCTTGTGCTAGCCTGAGGAAACAGGCCCAACAGAAGGCATGCTGGCCCTGTTCCCAAAGCCCCATCCTAAGTTTACAGCCCAGGAGGCGGGCAGAAGAGACATACCACCTTGAGTTTATGAAACAAGAGCCAGAGGGGAAAATGTTCTTAGGACTCCGAACACATGTGAGGCTGCATGGTGGATTTCTGCTTATGGAGTGTTAACTGTAACCCCTTAGTGTGTCCAGTACTCCGAGAAGCACCCTGGCTCTGTCAGGAGCAGCTCTTACTATCCCTGGCTCACAGAAGAGGAAGCTGAGGACTGGAGGGGCCAGTGACATTTCTTGGCTAATGGCTGAGCAAATCTAGAGTGCAAGGAACCTCTTACTCAAGCAAAGCATGAACCTCAGCTCCTCTATCCTCCCCTTCCAGAGGACAGGGCTGCGCCTGAGCTTGGGTACTTTGCTCAAACAGCACCAAGGTCAGTCTTACCTGGGCCTGGCACACAGAGAAGCTGTAGCTCAAAGGGATGACATGGCTTGCCCTAGACGACATGGCTGAGGACCAATGGGTGATCTGCTCTCTGGTGCACACTGCCCCGAATGTAACTTCATTCAGTTGTGTCATATATGGCTACAACAGACACAGCAATCTGAACTGGGGGCAAGGTTAAGCCTCAGAGGACAGAGAAAGGAAAGAAACAGAAGAGTAGTCTGAGGCACACTATCGGAAAGGCCACTGTGACATTCAGAGCAGGCACACAGGGCAAAGAGCCTAAAAGGCCTGACAGGCAGGAGCCTCTAGAAGCCAATCCGGGCATCTGAGAGTCTGGAAGTAAGAGGATGTTGTGCTTCTCTCTTCTGAGCTGCACCCCAGTCCGAACCAGACCGTGAGGACAGTCGCTATGCCACAACACCTGACCCGTCAGCAGTGAGTTGCAACCTCTCTCTTTAGGTACACACTGCACTGCACTGCACTGCACTGCACTGCACTGCACTGCACCAGCAGAATCCGGAGAAAACAGAATGGTGGAAATTTCCAGTTTCCTGTGTTGAGAAAAACCAAATGAAGCCTGTAGAGACAGCCATGGCCCGCTCCACCTCTCTACGCCTGTGTTTGATCTTACACCTTAGGCCCCAGCCACCCAGCTCCCCCAGACTCCCCAGGGGACCAGCTGCTCTGCTTCTGGGCTCTCCCGAGGAGAACTCCAGCAGAGCTGGGTATTGAATTTTCACTGTTATACTCCTTGCCAGAGTCTAAGTTCCTTAAAGATAGTCCCTAACTCATTTGATCTGCATTCCCAGGGCTCAGTCTAGTCCTTAATAGGTAGGCAGTCAATAAATATTTAATGAACGAAGAAGAATCAGAGGCTCCATTATAGCATACTAACACTGCAAAATAATTAAATGGGGGGATCCAACATAATTGAGTTCTGCAAGAGACAGTGGTGGCACACTGCACCCACAGTGTAGTGTGGCTCACCTCATGACGCTTGGCTGCACCCTTAAACACAGCGAAGGGTAACTCTGGTGTGGTGGGTATTACAACCACAATTTCTCTGGAGTTTTATGCGGCTTTTAAACTACTTTTAGTTAACATACAAAATCACGAGTTTCATTATGACACCTTCATACACAGATGTCATCATACCTTGCTCAGATTTGCCCACCAAGTCCCCCAAACCCACACCTCCCCACAAGCAATCCCATTTCTGATACAAGTTTTTGAAGTAATTTTTTTTTTTTTTTTACAAAGCACAGTCCATCTCTTTCATTACTGTAGAACTGATTCCTCCCTCAGGCGGTGGTAGCTACGGGAATACAGAGGGCATGCGAACAGCCAGATCTAGTGAGCCTACAGCTTCACCCTGGGGATCGCCTTGCAGCACACAGGAATGGCCTGGCTCACAGTGACTGACCAGGAGGTTGGGCTGTTAAAAAAGGGACCGCTCTCTTCCAGTGCCCAGAACCTTGCCCAGAGGGGAGAGGAAACAGCTCGAGCTCCTGGGTGTCAGGTCCCCTGGGTGTTACTGCCGTTTACCACCCGGCAGACTCGAAGCCTCATCGGATGCCATTCTAGCACCAAATCAAGCAACAAATGAGTGATGGAGTTCTGAGAGAACAGGAAGGATGTGGGCGGCAGGATGCGGGGACAGCAAATGTTAAGCGAAAGTCAACCCCGAGGGACTTGTCTGAGTCCTGAAACCAGATGGGTCTGACGCTCCATACAGAATACATCAAGCTTTGCCATTAGTTATTATGGTCCCTGCTTCAATAAATTGCCTTTCAAGGGGGTGGGGGGGACACTCAGATTATAATTACCAATTCAGACCTCGCAGAAAGGATAAGGTCAGTGCAAAAACCTATTAACTCAGGGCCAAGAAGCGACAGAAAAAAAAAAAAAAAAAGAGAGCTGACTTGGA